AGACTAGATATGCGAAACCATGGTCCTGAAAGAAAATTTTAATTATAAATTCCAAATAGGAATTACTAGTTTGCACTTTGCAGAATGTCATTCATTCATGCATCACAACTACATCTCCAAATGTCAATCAAGTATTTTTTTGAAGCATTAAAAGATAAGCCAAGGGAGTGATGGGAGAGAAAAAAAAAAAAAAAAAACTTTTATTCTTTGTATGTTTTATCATTATCTGAAGGTAAGAAAAAAAAAAAAAAAAAAAAAAAACCTAGGTGTGTAAGCCCCAGAACGCTGTAGCGACAACTTTACAAACATATGATTCAAGAAAAACACCAATGCAACTGAAAACACTATATTCAACCACTTTCAGAAGATTTTTAGCCCTGGCAATCTTCAATGCAACAGCCATAAACATAACAGAAAGCACAGAAGATAAAATTATATACATACAATCGAAATAAGATGTATAAAAACATCACTATATCACAGCACACATTGGCACTCTATCAGTTTGTTTCACTAGGAGTCTGCTTCCCAACATGTATGTATGAAGGTATGGTCAACCTGGTTTCGACGTCAACTTCCATACTATCCAAAGGTTTATATGTATGCTGGTGGAAAATTGCACCAAACATGCAAATGCAATGAATAGTTCACATTTTGCGAATTCTACTGAATTTGAAATGATGGTGACATGGATGGAACCTTTTCGTGTGTAGAGTCGTACAAAAAGTCTTTGGCTGTCATCTGACATTGAGCTGAAAGAATCTGATAACAATGAACCATTATTTCAAAACGATCAAGTGATCAATTTGAAATTGAAAATCGAAAAAGAGTGGTCTCAAAAATATGACATAGCTGTTAAATATGGAGGTTGAGCTGAGTGTAAAAGGGGACAGCCTACCTAAGAATAACTTTTCAGCATCTGTGAAAAGACAAAGGTTTCCCCTTAAAGCCTCTTCAATCATGAGCCTAAAATTCTGCTGGTACTTTATGGGGCTCTGTGGACATATCTCACCAGATTTCATCAGACGAAAAATATTTATACATGATGAATTCAACATAGGTATGTCATCCTTTGCCACTTCATTACGAGATGGTGTATTTAGGCACATTATCTCAACGGGCACAATATCCAGGGAATTTTTCGGGACTGAAGTGATGACTCCCTGCAGATAACATATGACAAACATAGTAGTTATCATATTGAGAGCAAAGAACAAATAAAAGATACTGCCTACAATGGAGTTAAAAAAAACTTGAGTTATCATAGGCATTTCTAGTACATAACAAGCTTCTAAACAGTGTTTGCAGGAGGTCAACACCATCTTTTCTTAGAGCTTTGGCAAAAAAAACTACCTAGACAATGTCCCCATTTGCAAAAATTTCACCATTCTTAAGATCATATTTATCATGGCATTATTGATGCTTTATTTATTTGAGCAAATTTAGTGACAGAAATTGGTTTTCAGGGCAAAAGAATGCAATTTTTGTCTAGGCCAAAAACATGACCCTTGAAAACAAGAACAGCAGTAGGGAGCAATCTTCATTGAAGACACATTTTGAAAAGTTAGATGCTAAACTTGAGGAAAAAAAAAGAAAAATAAAAGTATTTTAAAATAAAAAATAAAAAAAGTTTATACAGCAAAAATGAACGAAAAATAAAAAGCCAACTTAGCAAGTAAGATATTGAATTCATGTTATAAGCAAAGAAGATGATTGTTTGTGTCCCTGAAAAGGGAGAGGGTAGGATTGAGAAACAGAAGAAAATAAAGAACAAAAACATTAGATAGATTAGTAACAAACTACCTTGAAATTGATCTGATACTTGTCAATCAAAGGAGACATATGCTGAGCTAATTCCCGAGGAAGAAAACCTAGGACTGTTCCACTGCCGAAATCTGGAGAAACAACCTGGCCTCAGTGGACCAGACATTGTCTATACCAGAATTAGCAACAAAACAAGCTTAACCAAGACGAAAACTGAGATAGTAGGTATAAACCTTGATAGCATTAGGATCTTTGATGTTGGTAGGGTTTCTGAGAAAATAAATGCTAGCTCCAGAAACAACTTCAGCTGCATCTACATACTTACGACCCACAATGCATGTCTTAAGAACCATCCCAGATAGCTCACTAAGAATTCCTTGCATATCAAAATTCGATGCTCCAGATTCAAGGTCCACAGAATAAGCATCAACCATGTCATTTATACTATCATCAACAATATTATTTAAACTATCTGCCTGTTGTGAAATAGAATCTAAAGCTAATGATGACTTCAATGAGGATCCATCATCAAGTCCAGTCATTTCACATTGACTTATGGCACAAGTTACTTTATCATTGCTAATGCTGGCCAACTGGGGAGGATCATTCTTCTTGGGTTCACTGTCTTGAATCACGTTAGTTTCAGCAAGAACTCCCTCATCCACACACTTATTATCTTTAAGTTTCGAGCAGAAGCTGAACTGAAGAAGAGTGCGTTGACTCAGCTTTCGCTTAGTGCCTCTGACAAGACACAAATCTGAAGTGATCATGTTAAAGTCAGATGGATGACACTATTACAAACAACTCTAACCCAAGTGAAGTACTAGGAACTAAAAGTCTATTAAGAAGAATTATGGTACTTTTGTGAAAAGAAAGAAAAAAGATTTGACTCATACTCTGTAGCTTATAACTCATTAGTCATGACAAAGCCGTACTCCCAACATATATGTTAGAAAAGCACATGACACAACTCTATTCGTACCAGTGTGGTGTGAATGTATTTGACTACTTCAATGAAGAACAGATAGAATAAAAATTGACTTTAGTGGTTCTTGTAGACAAAGAATAGCATTGAATACAATAAGTAAGATTGCACATAGATTAGCGAAAAAATAGTAGTAGTAAGATTGCACATTGATTATAGCAGTGGGATCAAAATGCAAGGATGGATTTAATACGAGAAGTAGAGCTCATTAAGGATGCCATCCTCTTAATCACAGTGACATTGGGTTATAGATATTTTCATTTGACTTCTTTATCACGCCCATACATTAATCTTCACTACTAGCATTCAAATTCGAAGGAAAGAACAAGTGAAAAAGCCTGGTTCCACTTGTAATCTTAACATTATGAATTCATGGATCACAAAAAACAAAATCTATATTGTTTGTCAAGATGAATTCGGTCGCGTCAACAACTCAAATGTAACTATATTAGCAGTATCTTTGCCCATGCCATGTAAAGCTAGTACACATAGCAAGCAACTCAACAACTCAAATGTAAATATATTTCATCAAATTCAAGCCTGACAATACCAATTAATTATAACAAAATCCTAGAAACAACATTTCTAACCAATAACAATAATAATCCAGACTTTCAGCCAAATTACAAATCATAAATTCAATTTTCAACAAATAAAAAAAAGCTAATTAAGTAAAATCAAAACTAAAATTAGACTAACCAAGATGTGAATTAACGGAGCGATCGTCGCCGCAAATCTGATTGCTACAAACGGGACAAGTAACGAAATCATTAACAGAAACTACATCTTCTGAATCATCATTGGTTGCCTTCGATTCTGCTTTTGTAATTGCAGAATCAGAATCATTGATTATGAACTTTTCATCATTTTCAACTTTCAGGCAATTTGACGATGATGAGGAAGAAGAAGAGAGGATGCGAGAGAGATTAGGGAGGAATCTCCTTCGTTTTCCGATGATTCTCTTCAGACTTTCTCTTCCTCTTAGCATTTTTTCCCAGAAATTTGGGGAAATATGATTAGCGTAGTACTAGGGTTTAAGATAATTTGCCCTAATTTTGAAATTGGATTCAAATATCGGGGACGATTCGCATCGTACCTTTGGATATTTACCCTCTTCCCGCCATTTTTTGAGGGGATTTAACTCCTCATTTCCAATAATAGCCTCCTCTTCCCCCAAATAAACCCTTTCGTCTTTGCTCAATTTTACAACTTATAACAAACTTATAATTTTACAAATTTGATTAGGATTGTTTATTTGTTCAAAGGATGGGAGGAAAAGAAAAACATTGCACCCTGTTATTTCGGTATAATTTTACACCCGAGTGTATAATAGAAATTGTATGAGACAAGTTTTGTTTTTGTTATTTCACAATAAATTTGTCTGTAAAAAGTTCAAATAAGCTAAATTGTGAATTAACAATCAAAGATTCATAACTATCTTGAGATGAGTGGAATACATGTGAGTCATGGGTTAAAAGTGCCGAGGAGATGGGGATTGGGGACATGGGCATTGGTGATATGGATGTAGGCAAGCAAGCGACTCTAGTATAGGCTCTAAAAATTCTGGTTTCTTTGTCTTCTTTGGGGGAGGTGGTAGGTTTATCCACTAGTTCAAGGAGTCAAAGGAGGGTTAGGCCTCTAGCCTAACTCACTTCTCTAGGTTGCTCAAGGGAAAGGAAGAAGAACAACCGCAAAAGAAGGCACCTCTGGAAGAGCCGATGACCTTGAGTACCACAAATGTAGGCTATGTTGCTATTACACATACTCTTAAGTCCTAAAATGTAGTCTCCCATTAGTGTAAATTATTGTCAACATTTCATACTCCTTCGAGCTAAAGAATAGGCCAACTTCACAGCCTCTGAATTCAGTCATTACAACCAGATCTCAAGGCTAGCAAGAACAATTAAGATCATACTGAGTAATACTAAGGGGGCATTTGGTTAGTGTATTTTTTGAATTGGAAACGGAATCAATTAAACCGATACTGTTACCGTATGTTTGGTTTGAAGGCATGGTAACAAACTAACAATTACGGTTACCCCTCATTTGTTACCTCTCAAAAACTTGGAGTAACAAATACCCTTACCCTCCTCTTAACAAATACCCTTTCCATGGTTAAACCAAACAAATGAAAAGGTATAGCTAAATGATTCCTTTCCCCCCTCTTATTTATTTCCTTTCCACTCCGTTTCCGTTTTACGAACCAAACGCCCCCTTAATAGTTTATTAGTATGAAGTGAAAAACATAAGCTAAGATGATAAGTTGTGTTAGTTCATTAAAATAAATTCCGAACCTTAACCTTCTGTATCTCAAACAATCTATTAAATAGAAACCTATTAACCAGCTTTCCTCTCTTCATTACACTTCTAACTTCCAGCACAAAGAATACAACAAACATTTACAAGATGAATGTTTCATCAATACAACAAGTGCGCTATCTAACACTGACTGATGCGGCAAAATGAGAGCATCTTTGGTTTTACAAAGCTCGAGAAGGTCAAAATTTCATGAACTACTCTAATGTCAAAAGGCTCAGCATCCAGCAGTACGTACATTAATCTTCCCAGTGAACAAAGTAACCAATTGCAAGAGGAACATCTAGGTGCTCAGACTGCCTCATTGTTCCTCGCTGAGATCAATAAAGGCACTGATCAGCAAGAAAAAATTTATGCAGATTGTGGGATCCAAGCAACCCCAATGAATAGCTCATGAATCAATCTCAGATTTCTGGACTGAAGGCGCAGCAGTCGCAGTTTCTTGAACAACAACTAAAATCCAATCAGTTAAGCGTGTCAGCATAACAATTTTATGATTTTGAGGGAAGTAGTTGGTGGGAAAGAAAAATGTAAATAAAATTTGAGAACACAAACCTCGAGGTTGGCTGTCAGGTTCAATTGTGTTTTCTGGTGGAGATGGCACATCTTCTTGCTGTACAACTGCATATGTTATCAATACAGCATCAGTGGTATTTCCCTATTAAAACTTTTCTTTATTCCGAGGGGGTAAAGGAGGGAGGGAATGATTGCAAGTTTGGAACTACTCTGAGAGCAAGTTGGAAAGCACAGACCTTGAGCTTGACTCTCAGGACCAATCTGGGTTTCTGGCGGAGAGGACATGACATCTTGCTGTAAAGCTGTTTATTAACAATCTGTCAGCATCCATTTTAATTTTATACCAAGTACAATTTTATAATCGGGGGGTCGGTACTCGGGAAACAATAGTGATTTGGAGTAAAGTGAGAATTATAAACCTTGAGGCTGACTGTCAGGTTCAACCTGGCTTTCTGATGGAGAGGACATGGCTTCCTGCTGCGCTTTCAGCTGCTGCTCTGTAATCCTTAAGTAATCCTCACTAGAATATGCTTTGTTAGACAGAGAACCATCTGCAGGAAAACAAAAGCATGGGAGTCAAACAATGATGAAGTTTCATTTATTTCAACATGAAAAAAACAATTATGATACACATCAAGTCTATCATACAAATATTGATTTGTTCAAGAGGTGGTGATTGCAAAAGTATGGCCCATCTTCTTGATGCAGCTTTCAACAGTTTTCTCATTGTGTCAATCAGCATTCATGCTACATAGCAACAGGAATTGAAAGTGCATAATTTGTAATTCTAGAAAGGTAAATAGAAGAAAGGTTTCTAGTTCTGTTCAAGCAACAAGACTATTGATCATGACTACTGCAGAAGACTATGTTAAGAGAGAGGGAGAAAGAGAGAGAGAGAGAGAGAGAGAGAGAGAGAGGGAAAAGAGAAAAACAAATATATGAATAAGCCCCATTCCTAGCATCATTCTTCGTATGAAGTAATAACATAAGTTCAAGGTCATATTACATCTATCCGACAATGGTAATAGTCTAAGCCCATCAAGTGTTTGGCAGTTTAAGCAGTATAAAGATGGGTAACCATGCAGGTAAACTACTCTGTCTTAAATTAATTACAGAGATGGAAGATGCGTCAAATCTACTCAATTAAGGCGTCTGAGTTCTGACTACAGCTTTATTCATGTATCCAAGAATAAAAATTTAAATTATTTCCTGTGTTCAATGAATCAAAGGTCAGAACAAAGCTAGGAGCCCAGTAGCTTCAGAATATTTAGAGGATGATAAATGAGTGTTCAACCTTTCATTTTGGCTACTTTGTTTGTGGTGGTCAACTGGTCACAAACATTAAGAGGTCAATGTGCTAGCTTATGGCCGAGGTAACAGTAGCATGAAAACTTTTTTTAAGCTTCAAGAACCAGGATGCTTGCTGCTTTAGCTTCAGTTACTGTATAATAAAAAAAACTAATTCTAAAGGCTAAAGCTACCACAAAACAAGCCAGTATACTAACTTGGGTCAGAGAAAGGCACAGTTTGTGACTCCTCTGTGCTGGAAATTGAAGAATTTGGGGTGAAATCTGCTGGGTTTGATTCATATGTGGGTCTTACTTTCCTTGGATCATCATCATCAAGACCAATTTCCCGCTCCAAGGTGCTTTTGAAATCCCTAGAAACATCCTACAACAAGAGATATAATAGATTAATCTACATCACCAAGCAGAAGATAAGAGTCAAAACCTTTAAAATAATTATTTCAAAGGAACCTGAAGCTCTCTAATGGTAGGCTGAAAAGCACGCAGGGTTTTACCCAGATTTCGAGCAACCTGCATTCCATCATAATACATTGTTAGAATCTATAAGAGCAACATTCAAACGAAAAGTAAATGCAGGCATGTAGACATGTAAATAACTTGACAGTAAATTCAAGCACGTAGAAGAAAAAATAACTTAAGGTATTACATTACATTCACCTAACCTCTCTGTCCTGAGTCCTGACATATACATCTGTTATTCCATTTTAGGATAACCACCAAAATGCATACATCTTTCTATGATTTTCACCCTATTAACCCTTTTTAGTGGATATATATAAATACAAACGAGAAGCATATCCATTATCAAGTCCAAAATTTGACTAGTTTCTCAACTTGAGTGTCTTGCACCCCTATACAAAGTAATCGCTGCTTTACCACCTTAATTTATAATTTACAACAGCAGACCTAACACTGCAGACTCTAGCCAAGGGATCTGCAATTCCATTTCTTCATTACACAGGAGTCTATAAGTGAGAGTAATTAAGTTCGATGAGGAATCACAAGGAACACAATTATTACAACTTGGAAAGGTAAAAGAGCTAACACACTCCTTACATAAGTCAAATTGCAGTGGAAAGGCCGGTTGGGGGAAGGAGGGGAAGGGAAAGGGGGAATCATCTGAGGAAGAAACTGCCAAACCAAAGTAAGCCATGCAAACCTAAACCCATGCAAAAAAGTGAGAAGGCCACAGGAACATGTGACAGTGAAACTGAAGGTACCATAACATCATGTTTATTACTATGATAAATCACAAACTATCTTGCACTCACAAGCACTCCCTATACACACACATTAAAGGTCAAATTCGTCAAAGCCAGACTAAATTAATAACTACAGCAGTGGTTCTAGGATTTTTTGCTTATGGGTTTGGAGTCCGTCAAGTCCGAGCCAACCAATTACATTCATCACTAAGGAGCGCTGCAATTATTTTAACCATTTTTAATTTTTTATTGTCTTAAGTACTTTGCAGATGTTTATCTGGATTCTAAACCCCCCACTGAATAATTAGAAATTCAGTAATTCACCATATAATGATATATTTATGTGAATTAAAAGTCAATGCCATCCATTGTACCTACAGTCCTCGTGTTGTTGTTGCAATAAAAAATTGTAAATCTACTTCCAATTCTCCAAGAGTTATATACAACCAATCGTAAATGTCTAGAGCACCATAAGATCAGAGTATTGCCTACTTCATACTGTAGCCCAGCTAAAAAATACTATTTCTATTTCATTTTAGTATCATAACAAAATCTGCCACCGCGTATTCACACAACGTATTACGTCTCTCCAACACCCCGCGATTTGCAGTTCTGTTCTCCAATTCCCAATCAAATATTCATCAGACCTCCCCATATTTTCTGACTAATATCCATCAAAAACATTCTCTTCAACACCCATTTGGGAATTGCGAGTAGTACAAACTATTACCAATATTCCGAAGCTCGTCTACTCTAGCAACTTAATCAATAACAGTAACCACACTACTATTCAATCAGCATAATCAAACTAGCACCCATTATCCCATTTACTATTAAAAGCAACATACTGCATAAAATTCGAAAAATTGAAGAAAGAAACCAGCTAAAAAAGAAGAAGTAACTAACCTCAGCAAGTCCTTTAGGACCAAAAACCAACAAAGCAACAACCCCAATTACCAAAGCTTCAGGAGCTCCGACACCAAACAATGAAGCATAAACAACCTTCCCTCTACATTTAGCTCTCTTTCCTACAACTCAAACCCAATTCCAATTTCAGCAAGTTCATATAAAATCAAGCATACTTACATCCAAAAACAGCATAAAACAGTACAAATTCAATTACCCAGATGAGAAAAAATTACCAATTTTTTGAGGTTTTGCTGAAATTGAGATACCCAAGTGTTTAAGACCATTCCAGGGAGTAAAATTGCACAAACCCATTTGAGAAAGTCGTGAGGAGAGTGAAAAATTGAGGGTTTTGAGGCATGAATTTGTAGAAAAAGAGCAAGAACAAGAAGGGGGAGAATACATGGTAGTTTTACTACTTGCAGAAGAAAAAGAAGATGATGTACAATGAAAAGAAACAGTACAAAGTGCAGAAGAAGTAGCCATAGATTCAGGGTAAATTCTTCTCGGGAAGTTTGAATAATTTGTGGTTCAATTAAAGTTTTGATTTGATTTGATTGTCATGGATTATTGGGTGATGGGTACTGGACATTTGGGTGAAATTGGACAGGAAGAAGAGGGAGGAGAGAGAAAATGTTGAAGAATCATTGATAGTAGATGCTTATGATTTGGGCTGGGTTGAGCATACAATTATACAAAGGCATAAATTGTTCTTGGAAAAGTATGATCCATGAAGTATATATGTTGGGCTTTTAAAATACTGTAAACTCAGATTTAGCCATTTAGCATAAACATAAGTGAAGGATGATTGGGATTTATATTTGGTCGTCGAACTAATACAGTTTTCATCTAACATACTTCCTCAATTTCTGAAAGTTCATATTAAAAGAATTTTATACTTTACATAAAAGAAATAATTAACAATGTAAGATGTTATGGGATTCGTCTCAATGTAATAGAGCTAGACATTAGAGAGTTATTAACAAGACAACAATCACCTTATTAAAACTAATAGAAGTAAAATTTCTAAGAGTTAAAGAGCTCCTATGATCAAACATACGCAAAAGCAAGAATTAGAGAACTTGATACAAACATTAGAAATCAACTAATATAATTCCATATTGTTCACATAATTATGATATAAACATCCAAATAAAAGCCACCGTATAATTAACTTTACACAAATTACGTATATATTACATATTGTGATGCTTAATTTTCCTTATTCGTGATGCATCTCTATTATTACTATCCCTACCTAAAATACTCTAAACTCTTTACTCTCTTAAACTGAAACTAATTTTATCGATGTTAATTAAGGTCATCAATGTTAGCGTGTACGAGTAATTTTTTGTAATCTTGTACATGTAATTTTTCCGTTTTGTATACGCATGCATACATATGATCTGATTACAATATTTTTTTTAATTACGACTTTGTATGATTAACTAAAATACTCTGAATCATATGGATAAAATTACATGCATGCGTATACAAAACGAAAAAATTAAAAAAAAAATGACCACTAGGGGGTGAGAAAACATAAACAATGCGCAAAAAATTTGCAAAAAAGGAGAAAGAGAAGGAAAAAAAAAAAAAAAAAAGTGAAGGACAAGCAAACAACTTTCTCGGTAGGGATGTCAGTGAGACGGGTTAAGTAGGAGACCTGCCCCACTGGGGCGGGGATAAGTCTCGGTTTGGTGGGGATGGGGATAAAAACCATACTCGCCATGGGTGATGGGGCGAGGGTGGATTTTAGGTTGTACCTGCCCCATCCTTGTCCCGCCCCACTTCGTACTCGCCCTATCCCCACCTCATTTCCACATCTATATATATTTAAAAACAAAATTATATACTTTTATACTATTTTATAAAATAATTACGTTAAATAAAATATTAATTATAATACTTTGTAATACACTAATATTATAAACAAAAATGTGTGCAATATTAAGATTTTTTTTTTAATATTTTTTTTATTGTAATCCGTATTAATTATGTAGGATTATGTATTTGTGAGGCGGAGATTAGGTGGGTCTTGGGCGGGGATTAGGTGGGGGTGGATATCCAAGTGGAGGGTGGGGTGGGGATGGTTTTGAAATTGTAACCACCGGGGTGGGAATGGGGATAAATTTTGGACCCACCGCGAAGATGGGGATGAGAAGGCCAACATCCGTCCCATCTCGTCCCATTGACATCCCTATTTCTCAGTGTTTTAATTTCTAGCAGTCTTGTTGAGTTGCTGCTATTGGCAATTATTGCCATGCATGCACCTAAATCACGTATTGCCGTATGCTTCCCTCCACAAACATAAGTTTCTCTTTGTTATTTACTTTTTTACTTGTACGAGTAGCTCAAACTTGTTCCAATCCTTCTCCACCTTGGACCCAACCTTGCTTGTCCCACCCATAAAACCCATGCATGCATGCATCTTTATGCCGGCCTTGTACTAACCAGCCATGTAACCGATGTAGCTAGCTTGACCCGACTTTTTAAAAGCCAATTTATCATTATAGAATATTGACAGTATACAACCAAGAAAATTAAATAGCTACATATGGCCCAATCTTAATTATTCTCGTTCTGAAAACAGTACCCATAATAACTTAGATAAGAGCAATCTAATGACTAACATGATAGCAACTTATTCTGATATCATTTATCACTAGGCTTAGCTTAACACCTCTAATGAAAGCTCCAGCTAGTGAAATATCCCACCATCTATCCCATCTTAGTGGGTATGTATGCCCTCCAATTTAATGGACCCTTTCTTTTTTGGCTAACATGATAGCAACTTATTCTGATTTTTTTTTTTATTAGTCACCATATAAAATAAATAATAATTAATATTTATAATATGGAGTAGTATAAATATATCATCATATCTTTCTTTTTTGCTTTCTTAAAGGTTTCTTTTTATTACGTGGGGGTGGATTTATCTACCAAAGTGGTTAATCATCGATTTTTGGAAGTTTGGAAGTACCCCTTACCCCACCCTTAGGTTAGCTCTACTGTTTGATTCTCCTTGGTGAATTAATAATTGACTTTTCTATATATATATTTTTTTAATGTTTGATTGTACCCTATTATTTTGATCAACTATTTTATTTAACAACGAACAAATAACTATAACATCAGTTGTGGCATTGTAAAGTAAGATGATATATATTGTGAACATTTGACTCATATTGTCTCGTATATCTACTTGTGGAAATCTTACTACATGTACAATTGTTAAAAAAATTAAATGTCTTTAATCAAATTACGTTATCATCCATATATATGCATGTCAAATTATGGACCATGATATAGATCGGACGTAATCGTTTTGTAATGTCATCACACATTAGTTTGTTATGAAATGTAATCGGTGTGAAGTAGCGAACCATAATAAACCTATAGTATTCTATTCATCCACATATCAATCAATCATTTCAAACATCATTGAACTATGTGCGAAGAAAGTAGACAGCTTTGTAATTTTCTTTCACAAAGTTTATGTTAACTTTGTGTCAAAAATCACACAAATTTTTGGGAAAACTTTCCTAAAACAAGTCAAGCTTTAGAAGGGTAAAAAGTAACCCTCGTACAATGCAAGAGTGAAAAGTCGAAGTAAAAAATAAGGAGCAAAAGTTGGGATTTGTTAAACATCGCCCGCAAATCTCCACATAAAGCCCACAAATTAGACATGGTTTGACAATTTTGCCCATTTCTAAAATCGTACCCAAAGTGAACAAATCTCGATCTAACAAATGTGGAGTCGTACTGGGTTGCCCAGGGAGGCCAAAGAGGCGAGGGTCGCCGGAGATACGTCGTCTTCGACGAAAAACGAGGTGGCGCCTAGTTTGGACGTCGGAACCATGGCAAGGACGTCCAGGCAAGGCGCCACAACCAGTGCACTGGCGTCCAGGCCAGACGCCACAACCAGTGCACTGGCGTCTAGCCCAAGCGCCTCAACCAGTGCACTGGTGGTGGCGCCTCAACCAGTGCACTGGCGTCCAGGCCAGGCGCCACCACCAGTGCACTGGCGTCTGGTTTGGACGCCGCCCTTACTTTTTAATTTTTTTATTTTTTTTTGCCTTTTTTTTTATTTTTTAAAATTATGTTTATTAAATTTATGTTTTGATTTAGGATGTGGAAATTTATGTTTTTTATTTGATTTTATAAAAAATATATATACTAGACTTATAAAAAATAACACATAAAATTAATAATAATTAAAAGAAAAAATCAAACACATTAAAAAAAAAATAGAAAATTTTTCTGATTTTCCAAAAAAAAAAAAAAAAAAAAAAAAAATTAAAAAATAAATAAATTAAGGCAGCTGGGGCGCCTGGCCAGGACGGCCCGTGGCTGGTGGTGGCGCCAGGTCCGGCAGCCACGTCCACCGGCCTGGCGTCTGGGCAGGACGCCCAGCCACAGTGACTTGGGTATTTTTTGAAGAACCCTAATTTCATTACAGCTCTACCAATCATTCAGATGGGTCAGGTGTACTTTCAAACAAGAACAAACGTGGTTCCAATCTCTCTTTTACTGATTTCCTGAATCGCAAGTTACATACTACTTCTGTGCTTCCTTTTGATAAGGTAATTTTAGCCAATTTCAATTTTTATTTTCTTCAATTATTTTATTTTTTAATTTGTGGGCAATTATTTGTTTTTTTAACTACTAAAACCCTAGAGATTTTTCTTATTTTGGAACTTATTTTGGGAAATGTTAGAGTAGAGTGGTGTTTTGAATTTGCAAGATTGTAAAATGGAATATAAAAGAAGAGAAGGTTTTGGTATTCATTTCGGAATACCTCGGTTTTGATTTAGTTGTCATATTGATGTTTCAAATAATTCTATAATGTGACAATTAATTTAGGACAACAGGAGTATGTACGGGCTATAAGCCTATAATTCAACTTCTTATTGGTTAATTAGATGGTTTGATTATGTACTTAGTATTTGTTTGCTAGTTCATTTATAATTTGTATCCTTTTATGGTGATAATATGGTTTAGAGAGAAACTGTTCAGTCAAGGGTATAAGGATGAGACGATTTTGGAAAAGTACTGTCTTTCTTAGTAGTGGGCTAGAAGGTTGCAAGAGAGAACATGTTAGCTACCCTCGAGCATTTGTAAAGGAAACATGTTCCGATGCTAAGGTAAATTATAAGAACGATAAGGATAGATGTACCATAGATATGGATGTCAAAAAGTATATGAACATGTATCTGGAGGAGGTTTTCTTGACAACAGGTGATACTGGGATCCTTAATGTCTAAATTCACCTTTCTTTAAGGTACGGGTTAGATACTAAGTAGTATGAGGGTCGTCAAGCCCCCATTTAAGAATCCATACAGAAACTATTATCTTTGAACAAGTGTAACTGTTTTTATATTTGTATAGATGGAGCAAAAATTGCATAAAAGTTTTAAATTTTTCTCCTTATGCAAATAGATGAACATTGAACTGGATTTATGTCTTTTCATGGTTGGATATGAGTTCCTCTCACAATTTCACCCAATATGGAGTATTATGGCTGTTGTCAACTATTCTTTTTTAGAATTTGTTCAGCTATTAGAGGATTTTTACTGCGTATTCACTGATGTAATTAAGGATGACAAAACATTCTCCATGATCAAGAAGGAGAGTGTTCCTTTGGCAGGGAACCGAAATCCCAGAAGCGAATCCATTTTAAGAGATTGTGGGGGACCTCGTGATGAAAAGGGGCATGTGATTGAAGATTCTATGTTTAAGCTGTTCAATGATTCAGGAGGGAAAGTCAGAAAGAGGTCCTCTGAATGCATAACTGGTTAGTGTAAGCTTTTGATGCAGTCTCAAAGTTATGGTATACATTTGTTTTTGTACATTGAATTGTCAAATGCGGATTGCATAACAACTTATTCAACCATTACTTAATGTACGCAAAATTGCCTTCAAGCTTATCCCGGTTCTTCATGTTTATGTTAGGAAAATGCCTTCTGTTTTCATGTTTAATAATTAGTCGTCTAGCAAATATGTGTACATGAGTGTGATAGTAAATTTGCAGATTTACAAGGTGTAGCAACACAGAGGGTATACAGTTTGCTTCAGATTTTCTGATCTGCAGCTAAAATCTCCATAATGTTAATAAGGATGCACAACAATGCTCTTGAAAATTAGAAGGTAATAAAATGAGTAGAGGGCCTACGCAGACTTAGCCACTTAGGTTCTGTTTTCCTCAACTTTTTAAAAAACTTCAGTAAAATTAAGTTAATAAAAATTCCCTATAAAAAAGGTAAAAGCTTAGCATATATAAGAAAAGTTTAGCAAATAATTAGTCTATTAAGCTTCCTCTGTGGTAGCCTGTAGGATCTTCCGCCACTTACCATTCACCAATCTCTCTGCCATTTCCAAATTCTTCTTGAAAAGGTTGTAGGCTTTCACTTTCACGCAGTTGTTGATGTGCCATGTGCACAATAAGTGGTTCGATTCGGGAAACAGCTCTGCTATGGGGGCAAAGAGACCTCCCTCACACTCGCTGACGATGGCTGCTGGATGAACATTAGGCCCGATGTAGTTTCTCAGCTTCTCCAACACCCAATAATAACTTGGAGTTGTCTCATCCCTGATGATTGCATGACCAATCAGAAAGTTCTGGTTCGTTGGAGCCATCCCAACCATCTCAACCAGTGGGAACTTGTACTTGTTTGTCTTGTACGTTGAGTCGATCAAAATCACAAATGGCCAAGACTTGATCATATCAGCACAATCAGGATGCACAAGGAAAAGATGAGTCACCTCCGCTGTATCTTCATCAGAATCAAACCAGAACAGGTAACCACGTGATTGTGCCTGGTGTAGCAGCTGCTGTATAGGGTTCCTTCCCTCTGACCGTTCAAACCTAAGTTGCTGTCTGACGTTGTAGATGTGTCTTCGGTTTGGATGGTCTTCTGGAAATTTCTCTAACACAGATGCTAATATTTTAGCAGGCTTCACTTGAGCATCACTCATTTCTTTTACAACTAGTTTCGCAGCAGGACTTAAGCCGCTCAGTTGTCGATGACCCTCTTCATATACTATCATCTCATGGTTGTGATACCCCCATTTAGAGTAACCAATCACTTCCCAACCGTCACGACTCCGTAGTTGTCGAACCTTTACTCTGAACTCACACCCACAACCTTTCCGCTTTGTATCAAACCGAGTGGCTGTACGAAAATCTCTTTCTTCTCTTTTGCGATAACGGTCACATCTCAAAATGCGATCCATTCTACCATCCCGTTGAGATTTATGAGTTACTACTACCAAGCAAAATCCAGCTGCAATTGCAACCTCTTTTGCCCAATCAATCGCCTGTTGAGCTTCTTCGAATGGACCATCATGTCCAAATATCCCACTGTAATCATTTCCGTCTCCACCATATTCCTGCATCAATTATATATTACAATAAATACATTTAACGGATAATACATTTAATTTCTATATTTACACAGAATTAACACAAAAAAAAAACATAATTATATATAATCAAACTTAATTTTTATAAAAACCCAATTCGAATTTTCAAACTAAATTTAAAAATATACCATTTCGAATTTTCAAATTTAATTTTAAAAAAACCTATTTCGAATTTTCAAATTTAATTTAAAAAAAACCCATTTCGAATTTTTTTAAAAAATCATTTTTGATTTTTTTTTTACAAAAAAAATTAAATAAAAAACAACAACAAAATCAAAAAAGAAAAAAAAAAATTAATTATTAAAGGTGGCGTCTGCCAGGGCTGCCACAGCCACTGGACTGGCGCCTGGCAGGGCCGCCTCACCCAGTGGAGTGGCGTCTGCCCAGGACGCCAGTCTGGTGGTCTGGGCGTCTGGGCTGGACGCCACTCTGGTGGTTCTGGCGTCTGGCTTGGACGTCCAGGCTACGGTTTGGGCGTCCACCCTAGGCGCCGGAGCCACTCCGACGGTAAACCGTGAATTTTAACGGTGACTTACCTCGTTTTCCGTCGACGACGACGTACCTCCGGCGTCCCCCGCATCTTCGGCCTGCCCTCCGGTCTCCCCCGGCGAGCCAGTACGGCTCCACATTTTTTACACCGAGATTATTTCAATTTTAGAAAAAGGGCATAATGGTCAAACCATATCATATTTGTGGGCTTTATATGGTAAATTGCGGGCGATGTTTAGCGTTTCACCAAAAGTTGGAGCATGTTGGGATATCATTATCATGTTTTATGGAGAGGATAATGAGGAGATGGGACTAAAAAAAGTAGTATTAAAAATAATAATAATTAATTTTTTTTTTTTTAAAAAGGTGATGTGTACAGTGTCATTATCTTTCTAGGTTCACTAAAAATTTAGCAAACAAGTGGAGTTAGAAGCACACGTGCATGATTCCACCACCTAAAAGGCCTCACATACCATACTGCGTGCTATTTACACCCTTTACAAGTAAGGCCCTAGCTATGGAACTAATTTATTAAATATTCTTTACTTAATCCCTACAATATGAGCTTAATTAAATTAAATATAAAATATATTGAGCAAATAAAGGGAGGAAAAGGAAAGGCACTATTATGTCTAGATCAAGACCTTTCTAATTTATTTATTCTCACACGCCCATTCTTGTAGTAATTATGAGAAAAATACCCATTTTTGTAATAATTACAAGAAAAGTATTATTATATTACTTCACAACATTCAAATTGTTACCAATTAGATCATGGACATGTGTGCACGATGCTCATCATGCATTAAAGGAACACAAGATCATGTATTAATGAGCGTGATATACTGATATTGTGAATAAAAAAAAAACATATATATGTACATTCGACAATTTGACCTTCAAGTTTGTCAATGCATGTAATTGTGTACCTTTGACTATTGATATTACTAATTTTCAAACAATTTTTTAGACAATATAATCTAATTGCATGTATTTTTTTTTTTTTTTACGATTTCTATATGACATCTTTTCTTCCATACATGCATATGGAGATAATATCTGAAATGAAATAAAAATCTCTTACTACTACTCCGATCCGTACTATTTCATACTCAATTTCGATAGTTATTTAATAATCCAGCGTGATCTATAGAAAAAGTTGTACACCAGAAAAAGACCTAAACGTACCATCATATACCCTACTCCATTCCTTGGGCCAAGATAAGAAGAAGAAAAAAGAAAGTGTCGTACCATCCAACATAAATGTAAGCAATAAAATTGAATGTGGTAGAATGATGCAGATGATCAGATGAGATAATTGTGAAAATGAGGTAATGAATGAAGGTCCCTGCAGTCACGTGCCTCCCGCCGTTATAAAAAATCACAGCAAATCACGAGTTTCTTGCAATAATATTGCATCAGATCAGATCAGTCTGCTGCTATGTTGGGCTCAGTTCAGAACGTTCCGTTGCTAATTTAAGGTTCCCTTTTTGCAGTTATAGTGTTATACTACTAGTAGTAGTGTCTACTAGGCTGTATTATAATTATTGTTCTGTTCTTCTCCTTTTATCTTTCTTGCCATATATAGCCCGCTGACAAAACGGTTTCTATTCTAGTGTCCCTCTGCTTGTAGGGTTGTTTTTCCCTTCTACTCCCCGTTTGGATACACTTGTCACGTTACTTACTGTTTTATCTGTATAATCTACTACGTACGTGAAATTGATTTTAAATCGAATAAAAATCTGAAGAGTAGATAATGTGTCATTAACATGAACGTAACATTGGCTCTTAAGTGAGTTTATATGGATTTTGTCTGAATTTATCTCAACACGTATCATGTAAAAATATCGTCCTTACATGAACTTAATTAACTTTATTTACCATTATCTAAATTGTAACTATTCCGAAACGAAGATCTTGTCATATCAGATGGGCTCATTGAGGTGTCAAAAACCAACTCGATTCGAAAAAACTAAATTTTGATTTCACTTGTCTGGACACAATAATTTAGCATGACTAACATTTAAAAAAGAGCCAACCCGACCCAATTTTACTGAATCCGACCCGAACATCCGAATTGACACCTCTCATAGTGCTAAGGGGCATAATAGTAATTGAAAGACATACTTCCGAACAATCCGTTATCTCGCACACGGAACCAAAGCAGAAGAGAATAACAGGCACAACAAGCAGCTCATATAAATAAATATATCCATGTAATTAAATATTTCCCGAATAAAATTACATCTATACATTGTACGCTTCCCCTTTTTAATAAGTCACGAATCATTTCATTTCATTTCATTTTACTCTCAATTTCTCTATTACTCCAACTAGAGAGAGAAAAAATATATCATAGAGATTATTCCGAATTATGAATGCTTTCTTAGTAATTTTTGAGACGCTTTTACTTTGATCTCCTTGTTTTCTGCTCAAATTTCGCGAATTTATTCCAGAAATTTAGTGCTTTTTTTCGTGATCGCCGGTGGTTGAATTATTCCTGGTTTTTAGATCTTGAATTCCTGATTATTTTTGGCGCTATTACAGAATTTCAAGTGTTTTTTCCGGTTTCCTTCTGGAAAAATTAAGCTGTTTTCCGGTTAATTAGTGGTTTTCCGATGATATGATGGCGAGAGTTAATAATAGCGTGGATACTGTAAACGCCGCCGCCGCGGCGATCGTCTCCGCTGAGAGCCGTGTACAACCTGGTTCACTTCAGGTAGTTGTTCATAGACTCATACTTTTAATTTTGGAATTATTATTTATTTTATTTTATTTTTTTAGTTGAGAATTTTGCTAAATATATGTGATTTCATGGATAATATTAAATGTTAAATATAAGCAAAATTTTGTTGATAAATTAGCGATTTACCATTGGTTTGGTTTGAAATTTTGCGCAAAAAAGTTGAATTAAGGTATTATGGAGTATTCTAGAAGTTGATGTCTTGGTACCTTTTGGTAATTATCAGGGTTGAATTAAGTATGATTAGCTACTTTTTAAGGTTTAATCTACTTTGTTAGTTAACTAGCTTTTCTGTTAGTGAAAAAGGTGTAAATTTCATTTTCATTGCGAAATTATGCTGCTTTTGAATTTGTTGAATTTCATGAAAAAGGGGTTGGGGTGTGGGGAACTTGGGGTTAAAAGTAAGATAATTATAAGTTACCTCGGGAAAGGTACCGATGTTATATGAATTTTGGAAAAATCTTCATTTACCCGGTGGATAATCTACCCACATGAAATAGATACAGAATGAACGTGAAATCGTATTTCGTTGAGTTATGATAAGGTGGGTAGATGTCAAAATGTGAAATAAAATAGGAACTGTGGACTTTTTTTGATTGGTTTATTAATTATATATGAGAAAGCTAGCTTGTTTTGGAATATGATGAGCTATATTGTTTGTGAGATGGGTTATGCATATCATGCACATGAGCTGTGCAAGCTGGAAGTCCAGCAACTATGAAATTTCAGGATGACTGGTAGGAAGCAAGGATATTTTAAAGAAATGTAGTATTTCTACTAGCCTTTGAGTGGAAGTTGCAAAGACCATAATTGATTTTACCTGGAGTTAAAGTATTTTGATCAAAGTTTAATGTGATTGGCATGCTGGAATATTTGACTGGCAGTCTTAGCGAACTAGGCAATTCCTGGTGACATATGTTGTAGTATAGGAGAATGATTTTGCTTGCGAGACTGAAGGACAGTAGGCAGGATCTTTTTGTTTTCCTGGAGGAAAGGTTGAACTAAGACATCTCAAAGTAAGTTTCTGAATTCTGAGAGTCTTATTCTCGGTTAGCAGAACCAGGGCATTCTTTGCTAGATCATCTTTCGCTCTGTCACTTGATTTTTGAAGCATTTATAGAAAATTTAGACACTTGGATGATGCATAGAAGCTATGGTTGCAATACATGAACATTGGATAATTATTTTTAACAGTGTTATTTGCTGAGTATGGGATGAGTGTCTGGGGTTTATGCGAAGGTTTTGCTGAACATGGTGTTTCTGTCTAACAGGTCTTGTCGGTTATTGATAATGCAAACATATGGATCTAATGAAGATGATTATTTCACTTAAGAATTTTCTCTTAATTTTGTTGATGTATCAATAGTTAATTTCACCCTTTTGTTCAATATGTCTAAGTTAGAAAAATGGTAAAGCTACAATGCATTTATTTTCATGATCTTGATAACTGGAGTTAGAATAATCCCCTTCTAATGATAACAAGTTGATCCTCATTCACAGTGCTTGGATTTGTTGTTAGCTCATATATCTTCCACATTTGATGCACAGCATGTACTATAGAAGTCTAATAACAATCTTGGTTAATTATTACAGAAGAGAAGATGGGGAAGCTGTTGGAATCTTTATTGGTGCTTTGGGTCTCTTAAAACCAGCAAGAGGATAAGCCATGCTGCCCTTGTCCCAGAGCCCACTGTTACTGAGAGTACAGAGGCCATTACCGACAACCCAAACCCTTCAACCTCCATAGTATTTCCATTTATTGCGCCCCCATCCTCTCCAACTTCTTTTCTGCAATCAGATCCACCAACTGCAACTCACTCACCTGGTGGATTGCTTACCGTAACTCCCCTTTCTGCTAATGCCTTTTCCTGTACTGGGAATGCTCATATGTTCACCATTGGTCCCTATGCCCATGAGACTCAACTAGTCTCACCCCCTGTATTTTCTGCTTTTACTTCTGAGCCATCCACTGCTGCTGTGACTCCCCCTCCTGAACCTGTGCAGTTTACCACTCCATCATCACCTGAAGTTCCATTTGCCCAATTGCTTACTTCATCACTCAAGCGTTCAAGGAGGAACTGTGGGACTAATCACAAACTTGCACTATCCTGCTATGAAGTTCATCATCTCATATCTCCTGGCTCAGCAAATTCAGCATCTGGCACATCTTCTCCTTATTTTGATAGGCGTCCAATGCTTGAGTTCCGAATGGTAGATGCTTCCAAGTTGTTCGACTCAAAGAGTTTTTCTACTCGTAAATGGGGCTCAAGACTGGGATCGGGTTCTCTTACTCCAGATGGTGCAGGATTTGCACCCTATGATGGTCTACTTCTGGAAAATCAAATCTCAGAGGTGGCATCGCTTGCTAACTCAGAAACTGGATCCCCGATTGCCGAGGCTCTCATTGATCACAGAGTTTCCTTTGAGCTTTGCCGGGAAGATGTTTCGATATATTTTGAAAAGAAAGTGACGGAGGGTCAGCATAAAACAAGGGACCAATACACAAGAATTAATGAAGCCTCCCACAAAGTTGAAAATTGTTGTCTGTGTTCTCATGAGGTCTTAAGCGAAACCCATGAGTCAACTTCAGATGTAACAAAAGATTGTCAACACAGGAAATCCTCTCTTTCTCTTGGATCAGTTAAAGAATTCAATTTCGACAGTAGCAACAGAGAAATCACTGGTAATTCAAATCTTAGCTCGGAATGGTGGGCTGATGAGAATGTTGGGAAGGAAGTTGGGGCTCAAAACAATTGGTCTTTCTTTCCATTGCTTCAGCCAGGAGTCAGTTGACATTCTCTCACCGGAATGCATGGGCGCATGGCTTGTAACCTTTCTGGTTAGCGCTGAATATATAATCCCGGACAGTCGAGCAACAGAAACGAATCAAGTCAAATGTTTATACAAAGATACGTTCTTTTGCAGCCTGACAAATGCTGATAATGGTGCGCCGATCAATCAATCTGTGGATGATGCATTTGCACAATGTTTCTGGGCATGAGAAATAGGTTGGTGCTCTTTTGGTATTACAATTACTTCCTATTCTACTTTGTATCACTTATCCCGATGCCATACATAAAATAGGGTTTTGTTATTAGCATGACTTCATAAATGAATGTATTTTTATCATTCAGTGAGAATGATCATAACTTTAATCAATCCAATTACATAGCTACTGCTAAAATTCTACCAGCATAGTTATACGCTACCCTGACTAAGTATTAAATTTGGTCTACGTTTGCTACTTTTGTTTGTCCTAAAGCAGCATAATGAAACACATGCTTTCAAACAGTTTGATTGTCACAACTCACAAACAAAATGCATATCTGGGGTATGAATATGGATAAAATTACACGAGGGAGAAAATCCCACGAATCTCATGTCTGAAGTCCTCATCTGTTTTTTAGCCTGTTGAAGTGTCAGATTTAATTTCATAACTCATTGCTTTGAAACTAGCATACAAATATTTCAGGTGTGAAGGGAGAATCCATCATATACTTCAGTTGGACAGCCTATTGTTCATCCAATATTCTCTTCTCACAATTCAATTAGTTTAGCAATAGATTTATAATATTTCATCATGCTATAGATGAAAGGTATAGAATGCCAAACGACTGTTGTTGGCTTGTTTGACTAGTTGTTAGTGCTAGCTATTTGCACTGGTTGTTTAGATCAACGAGTAAAACAAAAATGTCTGGTGAAGTCATTATTGGGTGTTGGTAGTTCATAAGCGTAATCACCAAAAGTCATCGTTAAAAAGTTGCAGAAGCCTTTATCTTGCTTTACATAACAAAGGAAAGATCGGAGCAGACCGTGCCCAAAGTATGATTCGAAAAGGAGATTAGCTAGATTCAAGCTGCAGTTTGCACAGAAATTTAGCCCTTTCTCTTACATTACATGAACGACACTAGATTTGGATGGAGAGTTTTGTCTGATATTAGCAACTTTTGTTATGCTGTCTGGAATCTGGACCAGTGATGCACTGTTTCTTTCTACTTACAGGCTGTACCCTGGAAAGAGAATAAAAGTTTAGCTGACCCATCTTTTTTTTAACTATACTAGTGACTGCGGAACGTGCTGCTGGAAATGTTGGTCGTTATTCTACTTATTCTTGTAGATACTGTAGATTTTACGGCTCTTTCTGTTTATTTTAAGTAAAATTATTCTCGTCAGATAAGTTCGGAAAATTTCAAGTGTTGGGTTAGAATCTGATACCTTTTTTTTTTTTAAAATTACATTTTTGGTTACCTCATAAAATATTTGCAAATTAGGAATCAGATGTAAATTTTTTTTGGAATTTTAAAGTGAGCGCAATAGAAAGTTCGTGCAATGCCAGGCCTTTTACAACTCTGTAAAGTGGCCTATCTCCTTTGTGATTGTATGTATCCCTCAGGTTAATAAATTCATCCAGAGGCAGTGACAGTGGTTGACATATCTGGGATGTCTTCGTTCTTTCAACAAAAGAGGTAGCAATGACTTTATGATCCTAGTTTCGTACTGCAAGTCTTTTTCGAGTCATGGTGAATTGATGAGTGACAAATATCAAATGAATCAAGCAGATCTTGAGCCTCATTTTTCCAAACTTTCTGTTTGAAAGTATTATGCTGTAGGCTAGTAATTCCAATATCAGCAGGTTGAGCGTTTTAGCTCATCAAGCCGTATAACACACTGATTATGTGCATACTGCATACACAGATCAAAAGCAGGTTTATGAATCCTGATTCTAATGCCCAATTTCCAAGGACAGCACATTTTCATTACTTTTTTTAAAAAAATTCTGTATGACTCAACTTCCTAATGAATTTTCCTAACAGTAATTAAAAGTGATCAAGAAAATAAAAAAAATCCATTGTATGATTCCAAAAGATAGCTATCTATGATCCACAAGACAACGCCCAAAGTCAATAAGCACACAATCATCACCGGCAACAAAATGCTTCACAAAGGCGTTTGACAATCATGAAGAGCTTCGCGATATAGCCTTGTTGCTAATGCTTCATTAGGGCTCAATAATGTTGGCCGCCAACTCGATTCATTAATGTGGCCTCAATGCTAGACAGTAGACACTAGCTAGCATTCACACAGTGAGTCAGTGACACAGGTGCTTACGGGATTGTAATAAGGTAATAGCACAAATAGACATCAGACTCAAGGCTTGGCCGATTAGCCAAACCCTTAAAAAATATTCCTCTTGTGATTGCTTGTTGAAAGAAAATGGTGAAGGGAGTCAAAGAAAACAATTTATTTGAAGGAATTTGCAAATTTAACCTTTTGCAATCTATCTAAACCAAACACTTGATTTATCTCACAAAATTTCGAGATGGAAAATTACAGGGGTTATAACTTGATCCCCAAATCAAACTAAATTTTGAAAGAAATTGACATGTTCTTTCCTTATTCATTTAGGACATGTTCTGTTCAGCTTAATTTCAGTTCAATTCAGTCAACTTCAATCAGTTCAGTTCCTAATTTCCTTCTCTCATAAATAAGTCATTTCAGCTTAGTTCAGTTCAGTTCAGCCCTAATCGGTTCGGTTCAGTTCAGTTCAATTGTTTTCAGTAAATTGGAATAAGCCCTAGTCTTTTAAGTGTTAGGCTTATAGTGATAAACGGGCCAAAATAACCACAAATGTAGATAATACGGAGTACAAGTTATACAACTATACAAGTGTATGCAACAAGTCCAAGGAAGAAGTGCCCAAAAAATAAAACACGGGTTTTTATAAGAAAAAAATCGTCAATGGTAAACAAGAGAGCGAACATTTTAATAAATCCGATTGTTGAAATTTGTAAACCTTATCCATCCCCTTCTTAATTCACAACCTAACAGTTCTCAAAATGGCGTGACTTCTTTTACTACCGCTGAAAACAGCAATAAACCAAATCTGGATTTAGCCCAAAAAAAAAGTCATCAATTCAATCAGTTGCTTCTTATGTTCAGCTTCATTCACCATTTGTTATACTGAACATGTGGCTTAAATGTTTGCAATATGCAAAAATTGCAACCTCTCTTTCTCTCTCTTCTCTGTGGTCTGCCCCACCACAAGATCTGTCACAAGTAAAGTGAGTAGGTATAATTTTATTGTTACACCCATATAAAACAATCAGCCTATAATTATTTAATCATCAAAAGAAAATGTCACAAGGTTCAGTTGTATTTTTATCTTCATAAAATGCTGATTAACCACTTTTCATTGATTTTGGCCCAACTTTTTACAGAGTAATATACTATAATGTTGACTTTTGTTCGTCTGAGAAATCTTAATTAGTTCTTGGCTTCTTTGTTGCAGGTGAGATTCTTGGATGATTCCTACTTTTACGAATCCTTTCAGTTTTGTTGCTTTAAAAAGATTAAATTTTTCGATCTGGGTATTTCTCGGGTTTTCAAATTTCAGCTAGAAAATCTATATTACTAGTTATTCTGATCATATTTCTTTTTTGGTAATTTTGAATGGTGCAGTACTATTTGGCCTAATGGGTATTCAGAATTTCGGTGTTATACGGTGTAATACTGTAATTTGACTGGAATTGATATTGTAGTGTGTTACCAGTAGAATATTGACTCAGTTAACGGTTTTATTATTCATGTGAAATGAATCAATCTCGGAAATTACCAATAGCATAGATTTCTATGCTATACTATTATAAGACTTATTACTGTCAATGATTGTCAGCATTGCATGCCACAACGTTGACTTTAATATGTGGAATGATTATGATCCAATATAGTGCTTTTGCTTTCTGTTTTCAGGCTAACTGTGAATTGAATTAAGAAGTTATGATCATCATGTTTTGAACATTTGGGGATAAGAGTTAGTAGCGAGAGTTTGTTAGATCAGCAAAAATGGCTTTGGCTCCTACAGTCAAGGTGGTTTTAGGGTCAATTGCCTTCGCAGTCTTTTGGGTAATGGCAGTATTCCCTGCAGTCCCTTTTCTACCCATTGGAAGAACAGCAGGAACACTCCTGGGAGCCATGCTTATGGTAATTTTTCGAGTCATAACCCCGGATCAAGCATATGCTGCAATCGATCTTCCGATACTTGGGCTTCTTTTTGGCACAATGGTAGTTAGTGTTTATCTTGAAAGAGCTGATATGTTCAAATACTTGGGTAAATTGGTAGAATGGAAAAGTAGAGGACCTAAGGACTTGATTTTCAGAATCTGTCTGATATCTGCTCTTTCCAGTGCTTTCTTCACAAATGATACAGCTTGTGTAGTTTTGACTGAGTTTGTATTAAAGATTGCTAGACAACACAATCTGCCCCCTCATCCCTTTTTACTAGCTCTTGCTTCTAGTGCAAATATTGGATCTTCAGCAACACCAATTGGCAACCCACAAAATCTTGTTATAGCTGTTCTAAGTAAGATATCATTCGGAACATTTTTAGTAGGACTTCTACCGGCTATGCTTGTGGGTGTTTTTGTTAACGCCTTGATCGTATTAGGCATGTTTTGGAAGTTGTTGTCAGTTCACAAGGATGAGGAAGATGCTGCTCCTGAGGTGGTTAATGAAGGAGAATATACTTCTCATCGATTTTCACCAGCAACAATGTCATCTCATTTGTCTCCTTCCAATTCTATAGTAATGGATAACCATAGTTCCCCTAGTGTAAGAGGACATTCAGATCATGCAGATAATCTAAGAAATCGGTTATCTTCTGATACTGAATTTCACGGTTTCGAGTCTTCAAGAATGTCAGATACATCTAAAGACGTGGTGGTCGATGAAACATTCCAAGCTGAGACTCCTGAAAGAGTTGAAACAGTAACGGGAGAGTTCATTACACAACTGAAGCTGTTCTTAGGTGGGAAAGTAGTTAGTGAAAAGTGGAAGCACACAATTTGGAAAATATGTGTTTATCTTGTTACCTTAGGCATGCTAATTGCTCTGCTCTGTGGTTTGAATATGTCGTGGACTGCGATCACTGCTGCACTGGCTCTTGTAGTTCTCGATTTCAAGGATGCTCGCCCCTCACTAGAGAAGGTTACAATTTCTGAATTCAAGTTTGCACGGACTGTTAGCTGTTGGAGTGAATTTTAACTGAAATTTGTAGGTTGCATTCTTTGAATTCTGATCTGTTTCTAACTTCTTAACCAGGTCTCATATTCACTTCTGATATTCTTTTGTGGAATGTTCATCACGGTTGATGGATTCAACAAGACAGGCATTCCTGGCAAAGTATGGGACATCATGGAGCCGCATTCTCAGGTTGATCGTGTTGGTGGAATTGCAGTTCTCGCACTAGTCATTCTTGTCCTCTCAAACTTAGTATCAAATGTTCCAACTGGTATGATTTCTACTTCCACATTCTGATGTTTGTTTTAATTTTTTTTTATTTTTTTTTTTTTTTTTTTTTGAGAAAAATGTTTGTTTTAAATCTTGTGAAAGTGCTAGATAAATATCCCACTACTAGGGTTATGTTAGGCTTATCTAAGTTTCTAGCATAAGCAAAGTGTTCACTGCATGACTGGATCCTTATTGGGTTTACAGTCTATTATTGTATCAGAAGCATCACAGATTCACAGTTTTCTGTTTCTGAATTCTTGCTGTGCCTCGATGGTCAAATCTTTAATTTCTCTCATATCAGAGATATTAGAATTGGAAAATATAAATACTTTCCATAAATATTAAGATTTATATCCTGTCTAAGAAGTATATGATATATGTTAGATTTCTAATAGGTTTAGGAAAGTATAGGCCTTAAGCTATAGTACAGTTTGTAACCTATGCTCCTAATCCTATAAATATTATTAGCAAGAGATATTATTTCATATTTTCATCAAAAACACTTAAGAGAAAAATAAAAAAAAACTCGGCCGTTTTTCCCTTCTCCCACAGCGACCCCCCTATTTCTCCCTCAATCATGCCTTCTACCAATTTGCTCCTTGAAGAGCCTATCAGGATGGCATCAATTCTCAAGCCATCAAAATCTTCGTTTTTACCTGCATTGACGAAGATTGTAGGAACTCTTGGTCCTCGATCCGAATCTGTTGAAGTTATCTCCAGTTTGCTAAAGGCTGGGATATCAGTGGCAAGATTTGATTTTTCATGGGGAGACGCGGATACTCATCGTAAGACTCTTGAGAATTTAAAGGCCGCTGCTAAGACTACTAACAAACTCTGTGCTGTCATGCTTGAGACAGTTGGGCCTGAGTTGCAAATTGTTAACAAGACTGGGAAAGAAATCTCTCTTGAGGAAAACAATGTTGTTACACTTACGCCTGATCTTGGAACAGATGCTTCCTCGGAACTGTTGCCCATCAATTTCAATGGACTCGCAAAGGCGGTGAAGAAGGGAGATATGATCTTTATTGGTAAATATTTGTTCAATGGAAGCGAAACTACATCTGTTTGGCTGCAGGTATCTTATTTGAAAGGGGATGATGTGATCTGTGTGATCAATAATTCTGCAACATTGGGTGGTACGCTCTTTACTCTGCATGCTTCGCAAGTTCGTATTGATATGCCCACTTTGTCAGAGAAGGACAAGGAGGTTATAAGAACTTGGGGTGTCCAAAACAAGATCGACTTTCTTTCACTGTCATATACTCGTCATGCAGAAGATGTTCGCCAAGCACGGGATCTGTTATTGAGTTTAGGCGATCTTAGTCAGACTCAGATATATGCCAAGATTGATAATGTAGAGGGTTTGACACATTTTGATGAAATACTACAAGAAGCAGATGGAATTATTCTTTCCCGTGGTAACTTGGGCATAGATCTTCCACCTCATAAGGTTTTCTTGTTTCAGAAAGCTGCTATACACAAATGCAATATGGCTGGGAAGCCTGCAGTTGTTACTAGTGTCGTTGATAGCATGACCAATAATCTCAGACCTACACGTGCTGAGGCAACTGATGTTGCTAATGCTGTATTAGATGGTAGTGATGCAATTCTTCTTGGAGCTGAGACACACCGAGGATTATATCCTGTTGTTGCTGTTAGAACTGTTGACAGGATTTGTTTTGAGGCTGAAAAGGTTTTCAATCAAGAACAATACTTTAAAAAAGCTCTTAAGTATGCAGGAGAGACAATGTCTCATCTTGAATCTATCAGTTGTTCTACAGTGAGTGCTGCCATCAAGGCAAAGGCGTCTGTGATCATCTGCTTCACTTCTTCTGAGAAGGCTGCAAGGTTGCTTGCAAAATATCGCCCACCAATGCCAATTCTCTCTGTTGTTATCCCTCGTCTTAAGACCAAACAGCTAAAATGGAGTATTAGTGGTCTCTTTGAAGCAAGGCAGTCATTGATAGTTAGAGGCCTTTTCCCCATGCTTGCTGATCCTGGACACCCAGCTGACTCAACAAGTGCGACAAATGAAACTATCTTGAAGGCTGCAATAGAACATGGGAAGGCACTGGGAATCATCAAATCACATGATCAAGTTGTCATATGCCAAAAGCTTGGTGATTCATGCGTGGTTAAGATCATCGAGTTGGAGGAATAGACCTTATACTGCTGCTGAAAATACTTGTTGCTAGATAACATTCATTAAATTTCATAATCTACTCCAAGTCGATCAAGAAATCTGGTTGTAGTTAGCAACTTAGCATAGTTCTAAGCTAAAATAGTTTGTTGCTAGATAACACTCATTAAATTTCATAATATAAGCTAAAATAGATTGTTGTTAGAGCACATTAAATGACATAATCCATTTTTCAGTATTTCCTAAACACAATATCATGCTATAATATTTATTGTGCCTTAGTTCCTCCTCAAGCCTCAGCAACACCAGGACAAAAGTCATACCAAGCAGTGATGATGGCGGTGGTTTTTTTAACTTTTCTTGACCAGCCTATACTGCAGAAGCCTTTAGTTTATTTAAGCCTTCTTGCTGTCCATCAGCTTGAACTTATATTTTGCTTTCGAATTTTTAGTATTATTATCAGTGATATAAATGACAATTGTTGCTCAAATTAGCTACTCGCAAATTGCAGTCAGTCAATCTTACGTTGTTATTGACAAAAGTCACAAACTGAACGAGCTTATATCACAGGTTCACAATATACATCTGATGCAGAATGCTCAGAAAATATCTGTTTCTACGTGATTATTTCATATATGCATACTTATGTAGCATCATTGATTGTGTGAATGCCTTGTTGTGATCTTAGCTTTATAGATAAGAATCTGGTTCGAGTTATTCATAATACTGTATATTGTTTACAGTTCTGTTGCTAGGAGGACAAGTAGCAGCATCTGCAGCAGCAATATCTGCATCAGAAGAAAGAAAAGCATGGCTAATCTTAGCTTGGGTAAGCACTGTGGCAGGAAACTTGTCACTACTAGGATCAGCAGCCAACTTAATCGTATGTGAACAGGCTCGACAAGCCCCTTATTTGGGATACAATCTCACTTTCTGGAGACACCTTAAATTTGGAGTTCCTTCCACACTAATTGTCACAGCTATTGGCTTAATACTGATCAGAGGTTGATGACGTTTCTTCTTCAGCTTTGTAACTTTACACAACAAACTCTTTCTATCACTGCAATTTCAAAGAAGGATGAACTATTCTATGAGCCTATGATACGAAATCGTGTACAAAAATTAAGAATAATGGATGGCTTCTTGATTATAGGACTTGTCTCATTTGAGTCATTAGTCTCATTACTCAGTTTTGTAACACAGTTGTGTATCAATTATTTGTACAAAAATTAAGAATAATGGATGGCTTCTTTCCCTTTAAAGATTGGCTTATAAGCTCTTGTATCATTTAAAACTTGTGGTAATGCACGGAAACATTGTTTAAGAAGAAAGATAATTTATAAATCATAATATACTAATCTAATCATGAGTTCTTGATTTAAAAATCAAAATTTGCTCTTATTTTCTGTTTTATAAACTTAACTTATCATGAAATAACCTAATTGGTGTGTTCTTTTCATCTTTTAAAAAAAAAGTCATTTCAGATAAGTTACAATTAGATTAAATTTATAAGCTTCAATAAGTTTCAATTAAGTTTTATAAGTTTACTCACTTGCAATTAGGCATAAGCTAGAGGTGATCATTGGGCGGGGCGGGGCGGGTTCGAGCCGGGCCGGAGATTAAAAATTATGCCATTTCTCGGCCGGGCCAAGCTTCGGGCCGGATTTTTTTGTGCCCAAACCCGCCCAAAATGGTAGGGCCGTGCGGGCTTTTTGGGCCTAAAAAATCAACTAAATATGCATAAAAACGCATTCCCAAACCCGTCCAAAAAAAATTCAGGTCGGGCCAGGCCCAACCTGATTTCGGGCCGACAAATTCTGCCCAAAACCCGTCCAAAATGGGGTCGGGTCGGGCCGGGCCATACTTGATCGGCTCTAGCATAAGCTTCAATAAGTTTCAATCAAATTCAGTAAGTTTAGGAAATTTAAAGTGAAGTGATACCCTTAACTTAATTGCCCTATTTCGAATATGTTTTTGTTATTTTTAACTTAGATAGTCATGATATTCCCTAATTTAACTTTTATTTCTTAATAAAATGACATGAGAAGAGCACAGTGTAAATGTTGAGTCCAACAACAGTTTATATGATAGTTTTTATGATTTAACAGATTTTTTTTCATATTATGTGCATAAAATAAAGAGCCACAAAAGACAACAATTTAGACTATTTGTAAACCATAAATGAAACACTACGTACATAGTCGTCGTTTCCAACACTTTCAAAAGAAAGTTCTAAGAACTTACTTATAGAAATTTCAAAGCAAGGTAGACTTACAAAAAATTGATACAATACATCACTACATCAGTTCAGTGCATGCACTTAGTCAAACTTTTTTAATGTAAAAATAACAGCCGACTAATTTGCTTTTAGTCTTTGGAAACTAATGCTTATAGAATTATTTCTACTTGTATGTATAGTTGTATTGAGTAGTAGCTGATGTAAAATCTTTATACATCACTTATGAAATTGATGATGTAATATTGTGATAATTTCTTAATTCATGATCGAGTGACTCCAATTATATTGTCACCCTCTTATCATGTGTATTTTTCATGTGTCACTAATTTAAAGTCTAACCTCGTATTTTTTGTCATTAATTGAGGGTTAAAGCGAATTTTAGCGTCGACGTGTTTATTGATATTTATGTTTTATGTGCGAGATTGTGCTATAGACGTTAATGAACATTATTCTTACTACAAATTCACCATATATATTACTACCTCCGTTTTATATTAGTTGACACGTTTTGAATTTAGCACTATTCACACATCTCCCTTTGACCATGTTTTGTGATTTATATGTGAAAAAAAAAAATAGTAAGTGGGAGCTTGTAAGATTCGTCATAATGTATATTTTCAAAATATCAACTTTTTATATTTATTGTTTATCGTCAATTAAAGATATTAATGATTTAATTTGTACATTAGCAAACGTGACTAAAGAAACGTGTCAACTAAAAAGAAATGGAGAAAGTACATTGAAAGAGTATGAAATTATGTTAGCAGGACAACTACGGAGTACTAGTCTATTACAAGTATCTTTTTTTCATTTAGTTTTTATTTTATTGAAGTTTTTTCCATGATCTCTCGTTGATGCAAGTGTACGTTACATTACTATGTGGCATCTTGTTAGATATATTCCTTAAAAAATGTCAACTATTATACTTTAATCGTTAAACTATACACCCGGGTGTACCATGAGCATGGTACACTCGAGCAAAAACGACGCTGCCCAAAAAATAAAACGCAGGCAACAAACAAATTAAAAAACGCAGAAAGAACATACTACTTTGTAACAAAGAACATTCAGCTGAAAAAGAACATGTAGATGTGAAACAAAGAACGCGAGTTTTTTTAGGTATATTCATTAAATTTCGGAAAGGAATCAACCAAATCCCACATTAATTGATACAATCTTTTCAAAAAAAATTAAGATTCCAGAATAATTTTCTCTTTCCAAGATTATTTTCTTCAAAATATTTCAAGATTTAATTTTTAAAATTCAATTTCAAAAATTCATTTTCATATTTAAAATTTCTGTTACCAATAATTTATTTGATTTTCTTAAATTTAAAAAATCTCTACCAAAATCAATCGTATTCTTTCAACAATTTTTTTTATGTAATTATTATAATATCCGTTATAATAATAATGGTCATGTGTAATTCTTGTGATGTTCTTTATATATATTTTTGTAATGTTCTTTATCAGAAAATATGATGTACTTAATTTTTGTATGTAAAGTATTTAGCACTATTTTTCTTCCATATGTCCACTATTAATATTATGATCTTTATTAGATATTTTGATAAAATATTTTAAATGTCCATGTTCTCTAACTGTAATTGTAATGTACATTTATTGTCACATAATATCCATTACTTATTGTGAAAATGTTCTTTAAATTTTTGTTTGGTCCATCCTTGTTAAATTTAAATATTTTAATCTAAGTAGTGCTTATTACATAATATAATCATGTTCTTTATAAATGTTATAGATGTTTTTTGGATCTGAAAACCAATCATCAATATATAATGTCCAAAAAGAATATCTCCATCAACCATCGTGATCCTGAAAAAAAAAATGTACACACTTATTTAATGTTATTAACATAAAAAAAATATAAATTTAATAAATAATATTGAAGATGAATAGTTTAATAATTAAAAATGATGTAAAAACTAATTTTAAAATAATATGTGCTATGTCTCTCAATATCCAAAAGAACATAAGAGTTAAAACAAACGAACATGAACATAGAAGAACATATTATTCAAGGAAAAAGAACATAGCTCATATTATTGAAACACAAAGAACATTATACCTTAAAGAACTAATTTGTAATGTAAAGAACATATAGTTTAGACTCAAAGAACATATTAATCGGACTTAAAGAACATACTCAATTACAATTAACAAATTGAATGCGTGATAAAGGAACATTCATCATAATTAGAAGAACATCATCTTCAACCTTTGAAAATAATACCAAAAAAAAAAAACACCAATTTTCTTTGATTACAAAATAATCCACAAATTATTAAATTTAATAATTTAAGAGAACATTATCATTAGCATCAACATCGTAATTATAATTATAAAATTTTAAAACGAAAAAACCTATATAAAAAAATAAATAAATTACCTTCACATTTGATTATGAAATCCTCATCATCACCAAAAAATCTAGCATCAGAATCATGGCGAAATTTGGATTGATAAACCATTATTAACTTCTTCTACAGAGAATTCTATCGATCGGCCGACAAATTTCTCTCTGTGTTTTTCTCTCTCTGTAATTTTCTCTCCCTAAAATTTTAGGATCTCTGCAATTTTCTCTCTCTAAAATGTTTTAAAAAATGAAAAATGACAATTAAGGATAATTATCAAAAACTCAAAGCTATTAAAACGGAAAAAACTCCCTGTAATTAAGCTAGAATTTTTTTTTTCCAATAATTTGATTGCCACATCATCAGGTGCACCATGAGCATGGTGCATCTTGGTGTATTATACAAATTTCAATTATACTTCTCATAAAATATAACCTCTCTATTCTATTTAAAATTTTCGGTTTTAAAATAAACAAAAAGGTTTGTGCCGCAATAAAAAAAACTTCAATCTTGAGTTCTAACGAGACTTTAATTTGGACACCTCTTGGCTGATTTCCTGAAAGATGGTGGGCACTGGCCGATCTTTCGACTAGATCCCTTGAAAACCATATGTGTGGGTCTCCCTGCATGCAACTCACGCCATTCGAGGTGGCCCAGTCTAGCGTTCCTACAGAGTCAAATTAATTGAGATTGCTCGACACAGAAGCAAAATTTGCATGTAGGCAACGTTGTATGACTATGTCTGTTCATTATATTATATGAACTAGTTTAATACAATGATTTTGAATATCCTGTCCCATATAACTAATTCTATCTTCAACTCATAGAATTGCACGTTAATTAGGTTTTAAGTTTTAACCACTTTGTTCATAATTTAGGCCAATAACTACGAATGTCTCACGTAGGTTGAACTCAATACTTTAAACTGTATTAATTATTTCTTAATGAATGAAAGGTTTTTTCCCCCCTCTCTAACTAATTCACTAATCAACCGGTTATAAAATCAACCTTAATCAGTTATATAGTTGACTATGCATAATTAATTATAAAGCAAGGAGGTTTAAAATTACAATTCCCCATTTAAAACGCCGAATTGACTTTTACCTGCCAAATCATAGGGGACCCAAATTAAATTTATCTTACTTTATTTAAATTTTCTCATTTAAAAAAATTTGAACAGTCCATATCATAGTAGGATACGGTCCGAGACGTATCGTCGTGTGTCCCACGAGTGTCGGTGTCTGACATGGTGTCCGACACGGATACGACAGTTGGATGAAGTGTCCATGTATCCTATGTTCTAATTATAACTAGATACCGTAACAGTCCTGAAACTCACTTAAATAATCCATGTATAAATCTACAATTTCCATTTAAAATTTGTAGTCACATCACTTCA